TGAAAATGAAAGTTGAACAAAAAAGTATTTTTTTAAAGACATTGAAAAGTGGCTTCTTCTTAGCAGTTATAGGGTCAAAAGTATTTCAGAATAGAATAGAATAGAATAGAATAGAATAGAATAGAATAGAATAGAATAGAATAGAATAGAATAAATATGGAATGGAATGGAATGGAATAGAATAGAATAGAATAGAATAGAATAGAATAGAATAGAATAGAATATGGAATGGAATAGGAATAGAATAGAATAGAATAGAATAGAATAGAATAGAATAGAATAGAATAGAATAGAACAGAATAGAACAGAATAAAATATGGAATGGAACGGAACGGAACAGAACAGAACAGAACAGAACAGAACAGAATAGAATAGAATAGAATAGAATAGAATAGAATAGAATAGAATAGAATATTCTCCAAAGCACCTGAAGGCAGGACAAGAAGCAACGGATGGAAACTAACCATGGAGAGAAGCAACCTAGAACTAAGGAGAAATTTCCTGACGGTGAGGACAATTAACCAGTGGAACTACTTGCCTCCAGAAATTGTAGGTGCTCCAACACAGGAGGGTTTTAAGAAGAGGTTGTCTGAAATGGTAGAGGGTTTCCTGCCTAAACAGGGGGTTGGACTAGAAGACCTCCAAGGTCTCTCCCAGCTCTGTTATTCTGTTGCAATATTTAAGACAAAGGATTAGGTAGAACAGAACATGCTGCATAAACCTGGCATCTCTTATGTTTCCATTTTCCAGACTTTCCGTTTCCATTTTCTTGGGTAACCGGTTATCTGGCTATGCTCGTAGGAGCTGGTATGACCTTCATCGTCCAAAGCAGTTCAGTCTTCACCTCTGCTATTACTCCACTTGTTGGTAAGAGAGTTTTATGTATGTACGTAACCCAACGGGCCTTTTTGTTATTATATTTTGTTTGTGTGTGCATTTAAGCGAAGTAGCATCCGCCAATGTTTCATTTGCTGGATTAATCTGCAGCAGGGTAGCTGCTGCATTATATACCACAGTACAGACAGTCCTCATCTTACAATAGCTCACTTAGTGACCGTTCAAAGTTAAGGGACTTACAATCAATTTTTCACACTTACAACCATCGCAGCCTCCCCATGATCACATGATTTACATGCGGACGCTTGAACACTGACTCACATTTATGATCATTCTGCTGACAGTTGGCAGAATCAGCCTGCAATGCTGCATTCTAGCCACTGTGCCACCACGGCTACTATCTACCGCCAATTTGCTTTGACCGTTAGTAGCTCAGATTTTTGTAGAGAGCCTGAGCTTGCCGTAAACCAGTGGTTCTCAACCTTTTTAATGCTGCGACCCCCAACCGGTCGTAAGTCGAGGACTACTCAACCGGTCGTAAGTCGAAGACTACTCAACTGGTGCAGCACCGTTTGCAGAATGGGTCTTTTGGCAGGCTCAGCAGGGCAGAGACAGCCTGGACAATTCCTATTGGCTTTTGAAAGCCAATAGAATTAGACTCTATTCAAGAGAGTCTCTTCTATTGGCTTTCAAAAGCCAACAGAATAAAAGGGAGTAGCACAGCTAAGGAAAAGGGGGAAAAAAATGGCGGACTGCATTGTTTGGCGACCCCCGTGAAATGGTCGTTCGACCCCAAATGGGGTCCTGACCCACAGGTTGAGAACCACTGCCGTAAACCTTTATATCAGTTTGAACTGCCTGGGATTTCCACATTTCCCCACAACTTAAGAGCAAGGATTCTACTATGATTCAGAATTGTGGACTCTGGGAAAGCCACTCGCTCAAAACAAATTGATGCAGAGGAAACATTTTGAAGTCTATAGCGTTGTATATCATTACAATGAAATGACGCAATTCCTCCTGCTTTCTTCCCGTCAGGAATTGGGGTTATAAGTATAGAACGGGCCTATCCCCTAACCTTGGGATCAAATATCGGGACGACGACAACAGCCATCCTAGCTGCAATGGCCAGTCCTGGGAACCGGCTGAAATATTCCTTACAGGTGAGTACTTTTTGATATTTGAAAGCCTCTTTTGTTGATAGAACACACAATTCAACTAAAATGACTCCCATCTCTCTTGGGTTTTTAACGTTGTCTTCACCACAACCTTTTCCTTTTAGGTCCCAAAAGGGGCATCCTTAGTTTGTTACTTCAAACTAAGGATTTAAACTGGTTCAGAAAAGAAGCAGAAACTCTGGATGGCTACTTTTAGCTATCAAGCCCAAAATGCAGTTTGTACTAATTATGATTAAGTGGATCTGGGGTTAGGATCAGAAGAGAGAGAAAAGCACAACATTGCAACTTGATTGCAATGGCTTGCAGTGTTTTGTAATACCTACCCTTAGTTGTAGTTATTAAGAGTTAGTGTCATCTGTTTATTGAAGAGAAGGATGAGGGGTGATATGATAGCAGTGCTCCAATATCTCAGGGGTTGCCCCAAAGAAGAGGGAGTCAAGCTGTTCTCCAAAACACCTGAAGACAGGTCAAGAAGCAACGGAGGGAAACTCATCAAGGAGAGAAGCAACCTGGAACTAAGGAGAAATTTCCTGAAAGTTAGAACAATTAATCAGTGGAACAACCTGCCTCCAGAAGTTGTGGGTGCTCCAACACTAAAAGTTTTTAAAAAGAGATTTTGTCTGAAATCTCCCTTTATAAAGCTACTATCTGTTGGTTTCTTGCCCTTCCCATAGACCAGTGGTGGTGAACCTATGGCACGGGTGCCAGAGGCAGCACTCAGAGCCCTCTCTGTGGGCATGTGCACCGTCACCCCAGTCCTAGACCTTCAGCTGGGTTTTATAAAACCTTTTCGCTTTAGGCCTCTGCCACCATGTGCCAAAAAAAAAAAGGTTCAATTAATCAGTCAATTTCAACTTCTCACAGGGAAAAAAAAGATCTTGCAAAGTTGGAATTGATTGATTGAACTTTTTAGTCCCACCCAGTCTGCTGTTACCACCGCAGCCATGCCCACCCAATGGGCCACACCCATCTGGCACCCGATGATGCATAAGTGGGTTTTGGGTTGCAGTTTGGGCACTCAGTCTCTAAAAAGTTTGCCATCATGCCATAGACACTATGGAGAATATATCCACCTTCTCTCTCCTATGAAGTCCTTCAAAGTTGGAAAGATAGCTATCATCTCTCCCATTAGCCTTCTCTTCTTTGACAGATGATCCTTTTCCAGTTTTAGTTCAAATGGAAGCCATCCTCGACCATTTTGTTCTGAATTCGGATTTGATTTCAAAGCAAAGAAGCACTCATGTCTCTAATGCAGAGGACAAAATGTATCTATCTGATTCATGAAGTTAAACTCACAAAAACTATCATGGTCAGATCAAGAACACTATAGAGACGAGATCTAAACTCTTTCCCTGTGTTTAAATCCTCTTATTGCCAACCATCCAGCTAGCGCAGTGTTTCCCAAACTTGACAATTTTAAGGCGTTGCTGGCTGTGGAATTCTGGGAGTTGAAGTCCACATGCCTTAAAATTGTCAAGTTTGGGAAACACTGAGCTAGCGAATTCAGCATTGAGGAAACTTTACAGTTTGAAGTGCCCTAAAAGATAAATTTTATTGAATACACATCTCAGTACTGAAGAAGCAAAATCAACCCTGGCTTTCCCACGTAAAAAACTGGTTAGTTAACAATAGCTTTCCATAACCCCCCACCCACCAACTGTTCACGTTGCCCAATGACACCTCTTTAGTTTATAATGGGAGAGGTCCACTTCTCCGTCAGACATCTGCGTTTCTGACCTTGGCTCTCGTGGTCCATGGACTACGTCTTAAAAAACTCTCATTTCTTTCCCAGGCTTCCCTTCCCCCCTGTTTCTATGGCAAGCTGAGTAGCGACAGAAGTTAGCAAGCATCTTAGAAATTCAACCTTGATACTTGCCATCTTTCTCAAAGCGGTTATTTTAACTGGATATTTTAGGGAGAAAGGGGGGGCCTTAAAACATGCTGGTTCTTGATATTTATGTAGTCTACGTGTACACCATGTGAAGCCATCAACCATCGGGTTTTACCGGTTTTCTAACAGCCACGTGAGCTGTCTAAGGATTTTCTCTGGCATGGCTCCTATTCCTTTGAACTGGGAGTTGTGTAGCAGGGAACCGAGTTGTTTATACAACCTGGGAGTTCTCAATAAGCCAGGTAATAGGAGAGGTTTCAGTGTCAGAAAAGAAAACAAGGGATAATTGTAGGGTATGTACGTGTAGTGCATCGTCTCGGTGTTCCTCTGACGTCTCCTTTAAACTGTGTTTGTTTCCAGATTGCTTTGTGCCATTTCTTTTTCAATATCTCTGGGATTATCCTCTGGTACCCGATACCTTTTATGCGCATCCCCATCCGCTTGTCAAAAGCCTTGGGGAACATCACCGCCAAGTACCGATGGTTCGCCATTTTCTACCTCCTCTCCTGCTTCTTCTTGATCCCTTTGGCTGTGTTTGGCCTCTCGGTGGCTGGTTGGCCCTACCTGGTGGCTGTGGCCGTCCCCATCTTTGCGGCCTTGATCTTCGTGCTCATCGTCCACCTTCTGCAGAAGAAGAAGCCACACCTGCTCCCTGAGACGCTTCGGAATTGGGACTTCCTTCCTCGGTGGATGCACTCCTTGCGGCCCTGGGATGATGTCATCACTGCTGTGGGAGTCGCCTGTGGCAGATATTGCTGCTGCTGTTGCAAACGTCATTGGAACAAGGCAGGTGACCCAAGCGAAGAAGCCAAGCAAACAAAAGCGATGGAAGTTCACGAGAATCCTGTATCGCTGGCCGATGAAGAGAACTGCCTTTGCAAGGCCACAAAACCAGAGCAAGCGGACCCGAGCACCACTGCCTTGTAGCAGAAAGGGAGACGTTGAGAATGGAGGTCCAAGGACAGAATGCTGGGGATCTGCCTAGAGGGAAAACGGGGAACGTGTCCCAGTGACTTGAACTCAGTGAGAAGACTGAACCAGTGATGGGTAACGGTGGTTGTCAGGACCCCTTAAGTCATGTCTAAATCACAAGATGCCCATTCAAAATATCAGTAAGGTCAAAGCCTTACCTCACATCTACACAAGCCAGGGAACAAGTGAAGTCCTGTACTCGTCTCCAAGCTAAGGAAGGCCTGTGGGCAGGTACGCCACTTGTGTTTTAGAGATGTGTGGGCAAACACTGCCCATCCCTGCTAAAACTCTCTCATTTGTAGTCCTGTAGAAGCCCAACGTACTCCAAGTTCTTCATCGTCATCAGACCCACAAGTAGGACATCTAGCCATGTGTTATGTCATGTCATATCTCAGTTGGATCAGGTTTTCAGCAAGAGCTTTAAAGCCGCGTTTCCCTCGATCCAAATGTTTTCGAGTGTTCAGGCATATGCCATTGTTAAAACAAAAATGTAATATAGTGTGTTCCACACCGACCTCTTCAACCATACGAATTTTCTAAAACCTTCCAGATGGGCTGGTTGAGGTGTGTGTTCAAGAAATTATCTATATATATTTTAGTACTATAGGTTCTGTGGTTTGTGCAATTTATGAACTTTCTAGAGCACTTGTCTTTTACGGGGCCTAAATTATTTGAAGGCTGAATTTAGAGAGAACAATTGTTGAAGAATGTAGCTGCTATATCTCTGTATGTTATGCAGGAATGCCATTTCTGGTTTACAGACACAGGATAAAGAGAAAGAAGAGGGTACACGTGGGGGGGGGCATTCACAAGTTTTCTCCTCCTGGTTAGATTAAATTATGGGGGGGGGATGTGTTTTGAGGAAGTGAATTGCCCTAAAAATATTACCTCATGTTCCAGAAGCATTAACTCATGGAATGTCCCAAAACCGGGTGAGATAAACCCTATTGCTCTTGCATACAACCTTTTTTACCTCTGTTGTTGGGTGCGAAGGTGTCTGGTTGTGTGTGCACTGTTCTGTAAATGGGTCTAGGACAGCTTGCCACAGCCAGCTGCCGTGGCACAACTCATCGTGGGACACGAGTTACAGTAATATGGAAGAAATGGTGGAAGAGAATCCTTAAAGTAAGGACGCCAAAGGAGGGACAAAATTTGAATGGCAAAAATTTAAATTATTTTAAATAATTAAATTGAATTGAATCCCAAGGCAAGTTGGCCACAGCGAGTTGTCCTATTCCACTGTAAACAATAGTTTGTTCACAAGCAGCAGTATACAATCAGCCTTCAAGATCAAAGAAAGCAATTTGTAGATGAGCTTTGCCCCGTATTTGGAGAGAAACTCTTTTAACGAGGAGCTCTTTAGATCTTTGGAACAAATTTACGTAGACGACGTTGCAGTTCATAACTTTTGCTGGCATATGGGGGGGGGGACTCATTTCAAGCCACTGAGAAGTCAACCAGGATGAAACCTGGTTACCAAGATTATGATAAGCCCCTGCTGCGGAAAAGAAAATTAGTCTTTTGCTTCAAGGTAAAATATTAGGTCAGCAAGATCAAAAAGAGAATTAATTCATATCTTGAGATGTGCTGTGCTCTATTACAGTTTAATGCCCCTTGCATTCTGCTCGGTACCTAAATCCAATTATTATCGTTCTGTTTATTGCCTCGTGGGCTGATATTCTGGCAGCTGATATGACGATCCATCCATTTTCCTCATGATGCCCTTTATTGCAAAACTTTATTCTACATTTCTTGGAATGGACTATTATAAAGAATTTTATCTCGATATAGATATAGAATTAAACGTGAATCACTCTTATCAGAATCCCTGAGACTTAAAAGGGCTCAGCGACAGAGAATGGATTGTGCTGTTTTTTTTAAAAAAAAATATTTGCAAAGAGATTATCTCGGATAGGAATTCATGCTGGAAGTCCATATAAATGAACTTAGTATATGCTGGCTAAAAATATCAAGAAGAGTACAAGGCAAATTCAGCTTTTTTAAAAAAAAATGGATAGTTTACAGTGGAGAAATTGTCTGGGTCTTCCATTTATTGCTCCCGATTATCAGTGAAATTTAGAAGTGCTTATATATGCATTTCTTAGAAAGCAAATGAAGAATCTCATGCAGGTTTACTCAAAATTTAATTACCTGTGCTTCACCCAAAGGACCTTTTAATGGAAAAGTAATTTTGATGTATTTGTACTAGAAAGAGGCCACTTTTTTTTTTTTTTACAAATACTTGGATCTGCAGGGCTCCAAGTGCTTTTAAGAAAGCTACATATTTAATCAACTTAGCAAAGATAGAAAACATTTGTAGCTTGGGTGGAAGATGGTGGTGGTGGTTGATTCTCCAAGTTTGTTGTTTAGCTTCCCAATGTTTCATCACCAGCTGAGTGACATCCTCCTGCTTCAGTTCTTCTCCACTTTTATTGATCTCACGTGGTCAATGAGTCCTGTGACGACTCTCCATGACTTGTTACATGCCATGTGACCGGCTGGTGATGTTCATGTGAAGGTCACCAGGTGAGATCAATAAAAGAGAAGAAGGAGAAGGAGAAGGAGAAGGAGGAGGAGAAGAAGAAGAAGAAGAAGAAGAAGAAGAAGAAGAAGAAGAAGAAGAAGAAGAAGAAGAAGAAGAAGAAGAAGAAGAAGAAGAAGAAGAAGCTTTTTCTGAAACATTCAGAAGCTAAACAGCCAGCCTAAAATGAAACCATCACCAACATTTAATCAGTTTTATGCAGAAATTGATTAATTATGATGCAATAGCATAGAAATGAAGTTTCTATGCAATTAATAATAATTGGCACTTGGCAGAAACAGCAGGACACAGCCAAAATAAAGCACTTAATAAACCAGGGGTCAGGGGGGGAGGGAGAGTCAGAAAAATCAAAATGGTGGCTGCAGCTATGCAACTAACCCGCCCGTTTTTGAGGGGAACTTTACCCAATCTTTCTTCTCACGTTGTTTATGATAATGTTCTTGTGTTGCTTGTTTGGGGGGGGATGTCTTCACACTCAATCATTAATATTAGCAGGGGGGTTGCTCAGATTTGTGAAGCAGAATGCTACACCAATTCTGTAGACTTTCTGTCTTCTCAAAAACTTGGGGAAGAAGAACAGAAGGAATGCCTTTGTATTCCCACTTCTGCTTTCTGCTTGGTTGACTCCGATGCTGTAACTCAATCTACCTTTTGTTCCCTTCGGTGGAATCGTGGTTTAGAGGGAAAGTGGGAACTCTTTCCAAGCAAAAGGAAGTTGGATTTCCAAGGGCCAACATGGCGAGTGGTTAAGGATTAGAGCAGTTGAAGTCAACTGACGGGGTTGAAGAACTAGCGGACACGTTCACAAAAGTTGAGAAGTAGAACATGTTTTGGGGCTGATTTAATATTGTTTTATGTAGAACCAGAGGGACGCATAAGAAGGGGAGTAAATTGGACAAGACTGAGATTAGGAAAGAGAAAAGAATATACAACACACTTAATGTTTATACATACAGATATTATTTTTCTCTCTGCTTTATGAACCCAATATTTAAGCTCCCCCCGAGCTACTTTATTCGAGGGATGAATCAATGTCCCCTTAATTCACCCATTTCATATTGGATGGATAACGGTTGTGTTTTTCAGTCCCTCGGTAGAGAAATATGCGTAGTAAGGATTGGACATAAACATAACCAAGAATGTGTTTTTGTCTTCATAACTTAATCTGGTGATTAGAAACTGACTTTTCATTCCTAAGGTGGAAGGAAGGCTGGCAAACTGAATCAGCTGGGAAACAAAATATTCGTTTTGAACAGGGAAGATGGGGAGAGAAAGACAAGTCCCACCACTGCAACCATCTCCACCAGTTTTGTAGAATGCTACATTTATGATTGCCATCCCACCAGGGTAGATGGTCTTCAAAGTTGAAGCACTGCAACCTGCCAGTGGCATCTGCGTCACAATTATGGAATTAATTTAATGGATTTTATACGGCTGCCCGCTCCCAAAGACATGTGACAGGAGCAGGTGAGGCAGCTAGCCATTGATGAATCTTCATCACCATGTTTAGTTCAACATCTTTAGTCAGTTGATTGCACAGTTAAACACCTGTTCTACAACCACCCAATGAACATAGCCCTCTTTAACCCCAAAACAGCAGCAAACTGTTTACCCAAGTTCTCACCAGGGTCATTAGGTTTTGATATGCGGGTGAAATTTGAATTTTGAGATCGTTTTGAAGGCGCTATGGCCAGCTGTTCAAAACAAGACAACCAGGATGTGTCCACCAGGGTTAGGGTTAGGGTCAACCAGGGTTCCTCTTGCTTTCTAAAGTTGTAGATCAGAAAGGAACATGGCCCCCATTTCACGTAAGGTGTCCTCATTAACCTCAACGTCCTCATACTAACCCCACAAAAGAGGAAAGGACTCACAAGTCCAACTTGAAGGTCAATGTTAGTTTCACAGATAATTTAGGACCTTCAAAGTATCTCCTGCCTAACCATGAGTGTTTCCTGGATTCTGTTTCTCCAACCTGGTGCTCTCTTGTTAACTTGAAGTTTGCTTGCTGGGATATGAATAGGTAACTGCAGTAGAAGACAATAGGCAAGTTCCAGTTTCAGGGAGGTTACATTAAATTGTCCTGTCTTGCAATAAACAAAGTTGTCTTCTGTCCAGTTGAAAACTAGGAGTCTTCCAGAGTCCCCTCTGAAAATATCAGATCATGGAACTGCATCTCTTTCTTTTTTTTAGCATTTCCCGTTATTTATAATGTGTTTTCTTTTTTTTTTTAGTGTACAGTTTTGCATGTGTGTTCTCTAAGGAACGGCTTGTGAAATTTAATTATGTATTGCGTATTTTACGTTGTGGTGTTTATAAGGAATGTTGGGGGGGGTGGAAAGTCTTCTGGAAAATAGCTTAGAAAAAGAATGAGTGGGAATATTGTCTACTTTAATAAGATTTGTTGAAAAGAAAGCAAACTGCCTCTCGCGTCATGCTTTAATTTCTGTTATGCGTTAAAATATGGAACTATTATTATTTTGTTTTTTTTTACATCCTAGTCCTTTGGGCTTTTGTTTGTTTTATAACGAGAGTTCTTCCTTAACTGTGGATAAAACAATGTAACGGATAAAACTACAAATGACCAAAAATGTAAAATGGAATATTCTAATTTGGCATGGTTTTTGTCTCATTGGAAGAGAATGACAGGATATTGAATGCAATATTGAATGGAAAATTAAAAGATTTTGAAAAGACGATGAACGATGAAACTATATTTTTTATTAAAACGCATCAGTTATAATAATGAAGTGCTGTTTTACATCATGTGTACATTTTATTTATAACCATACATACATGTACGTACATTTATTTTCTACTACTTATGAAATGCATTCATCATTCATTCAATCAATCAATCCTTCAGCGGGCTTTCAACCCAGGGACAACATTTGGACCAACATTTACTTTAATCTTGTCATACCAAAAATAACTGTGCCATCCAAATTTTAATCCATGACATTCTAATTCAAGTAGCCTTTTATTCTGGAGGTTCACCCACTCTTTTAGCCAGACCAAACAACAAGCATCAAAATATAGTTTCAAATCTAATAAACACAACTTCTCTCTTTCCTTAGCATCTTGCAGTAGTTTATATCTACACAATGGGGAAGATTGCCCATCTGATCTAAAGGATTAGATCAGGGATAGTCAACCTTGGCTCTTTTATGACTCGTGGACTTCAAGTCCCAGAATTCCTGAGCCAGCTTCTGGCTCAGGAATTCTGGGAGTTGAAGTCCACGAGTCATAAAAGAGCCAAGGTTGACTACCCCTGGATTAGATTATGGAAGACTGCCTATAATCCTATTTAAGATGGATTATGGCATGTGGAAATCTGGAAGTATCAAACATAATCAAAGCCACCAACTTATCAAGTGCCTAGGAGCCAAAATGTTTTATAGATGGCACTTGCCACCAGAAAGGTTAGCAAAAATGTTTTAAAATATGTCAGATAGATGTTACTGCTACTATCATCTATCACAGGGGTGTCAAACTGCCAGCTCGTGGACCAGATGTGTCACACGGAAGCCGTGCCCACCACCCCATTGCCGGCAATGGCAAAATAGTCCCAATACATTGCCCGACGTCATGTGACATTGAGAGTTTGACATGTCTGATCTATCATGTCTACAGAGCATGGCATCTAAAACCACACGATCACGAACTTTTAAATCCTTGTTTAAAGGCAACATCTGGAAGGCTTTTTTTAAATGCACCTCATTAACTTCTGCTACAGCCTTTAGGAAGCTTAAGGTTAAGATGTCACCCTTTCAACGGGAAAACACAATAGTGTAATCTAATTATTTGCATTAATACCCACCTGCTGAAAAAGGGAGACGGTTAGGAGAAAAGAAAAGCTTATTCTTGTCTCCACTGATGTGCACCTGAATTGATGGCCTGCTCAGAAGTAAACCTGGTTGAATTGCAAAATGATGTTGTCTCCAGTGTGTAGTTAAAGAGGTTCTCAGCTAAGGCCTTCTTCTGTTTCCAAACATCTTTGGAAATCTATATTATAACACAGCAGAGACAGATAAGGAGCAATGGATGATAGGCATCCATAAGGTAAGTTAGCTCAACAGTTGGACCTCCGCCTCACAGCTGACCAGCTCCAGCTGTGATAGAGAAAAACCTGAGGGCATCTACTCCATTCTGGTGTCCTCCAGTTGTTTGGTAATGCAACTTTTTCATTAGCTGGTTCTAAGCTTGGTTTGATGCTCTTCATGAGCCATCACGTCCTGATTAATGGACAACAAAGTTGCATTACCAACATCTGGTGCGTACCAGATTGAAATAGATGCCCTCAGGTTTTTCTCTGGTCAGCTGTGAGTCCAGGGTCCAGTTGTTGAGCTAATTTACCATATGGATGCCTATCATCCATTGCTACTTATCTGCCTCTGTGGCGTTATAGTATAGATTCCCAAAGACATTTGGAAACTGTCTTTGGGCCTTAGCTGAGAACTTCTTTAACCACACAAACTCACTGGAGACAACCTCATTTTGCTGGCGAAGAACATCAAACAGAGGATGACAGCCTAGAATCAGCTGATGAAAAGGTCTATATCAGGGGTAGGCAACCTTAGCTCTTTTATGCCTGGTGGACTTCAACTCCCAGAATTCCTGAGCCAGCTTGGTTCAGCTTGGAAACCTCTCCCTTTCCCCTCAGCATGGCTGGCTCAGGAATTCTGGGAGTTGAAGTCCACCAGTCCTAAAAGAGCCAAGGTTGCCTACCCCTGGTCTATATCTAAGCTTTATAATAAAGCCTTTTCATCAACTATCTAGAAGTCATGCTTAAAAAGAAAAAAACCTTGAGTATTCATGCATTTATCTTCCTAGCTACATTTTATTACTCCTTTCCAATCAAGAAACTGTTGACATGGTGTTTTCCACTGTCTAGTATCTACAATTTGACGTCATTACAGTTGTCACATTGGCCTTCCCTACCTAGGCACCTGGTTATTATGGTGATTTCTGCAAATAAAATAAAGTCATGCAGTTTCACATGAGTGTAAATACATTCCCCAGGGCCACCCATTATATAACTATGTTTTGAATATGTTCTTGGGGAAATAATACCGGATCGTAATATGGCAAGATGTAGTTTTGAAAGAGTAATAGAAACCATGTTAAAGCATAATCAAGTTTCCTTGGCTGTTGTGATTGCTGGGATTCGTCTTTGATCTAGCAAAATGTAATCATGGTTGACTGAGTCATTTTTAATTATGATTATCACCAACGGTCCTTAGCGTAGGAAGCTAGCTATAGTTTCCTTACCCTAATATATAATTATCTTACACCTGATACTCAGATAATCCTGAGCTGCTGCTAGTTTGGGAAGTTGAAAAATCAAATTCTCAGAAAGTGATGACAACCCAAATCTTCAGCCACCAACTTCAGGTTTCACTTTATCCTTGAGGATGATTAACGATGATTTTGTTTGTCGGCATTTCGACCTCAAGAATCAATATATTTTGGAAAAATTTGAGTATTTACTCATGTAGTAGGCTGTATTGCTATTATCCTTCTCATCTTCTCCTTTGTCTTCTTTTCTCATCTTCTCGTCTTTCTAACTATCTTCTCCCATTAGTATCTTATGATTTATCACTTGTTTTTTGTATCTTATGTTAATGTTTGTAAGGATGATTTATGATCTATGACCTGTCACTTTGCTGTTTGAATGTATGCTGTGAGTTTCTGCATCGGAGACAAATTCCTTGTGTGTTTGATCACACTTGGCCAATAAAGAATTCTATTCTATTCTATTCTATTCTATTCTATTCTATTCTATTCTATTCTATTCTATTCTATTCTATTCTATTCTATTCTATTTCTATGTTCTAGTGTAGTCTAGTGCAGTCTATAATCTATTCTATTCTAATTTATTTTCTATTCTATTCTACTCTATTCTATATTCTATTTTCTATGTTCTATTCTATTCTACTTTCTATTCTATTCTACTCTACTCTATATTCTAGTCTAGTCTAATAATTATTCTATTCTCTATTCTGTTTTATTCTATTCCTATTTTTTATTTTCCATTTTCCATTCCGTTCCGTTCCATTCCATTCCATTCCATTCCATTCTATTATTATTCTATTCCAGCTCAGAACACAAATTTCTGAGGCTAATCTAATCCCTACAGATTGAGACAGAACCCAGCTTTGTTATCTTTTTGCCTTGGGACAACAACGAGTTGATATTTAACAAGCATTTACTTACTTTAGGAAAAAAAAGAAAGAAAGAAATCCAGGCCAAATACTGATCTGAAAGCTATCTTGAAATGATATACTTCAACCATTGTGACTAATTAGCGCCTGTTAAATTTCTGACATTTTAATATTCACTAAATATTATAGTTTATTGCAGGAGATTAGGGTTATAAACCTACTCTATTTGCAATCTTAATTGTTAAATAATTAGTACAGTTTGACATCATAACATCGAAATGATAAGAATAGGCACGTTTAAGATTATTAATCCCTTTCTTGTTTACTCTAATGAATTCCCACATTAGCCCATATTTCTTGGTTTCTCTTACAGGCGTATTTACTTTTGATGCTTTTCCACTCAGCTAATGGAAGGTAACTTATAAAATGCAGTCATATAATAAGATCAATCAGTTATCAGCAGCACGTAATAAAACAGCCGCAGGAGCTGTATTCAAAATAACGTTCAGCCAAACAGCTTTCTGAGCAGCCATGTTTTAATCAAACTCTAGAAAAATAAAATCTTGGTCTTTTTAATCATCAATATCTGCAGTCTACAAAATTGGGATTGACCATAAAAATAGCTTGGTGTTCAGACGTCTAAACTCGATACACTTGATATCCGGAGCAATGCTGAGAATGCAAGAAAGGAGGAAGGTCGGGAAGATGGTCCTGTAAATATCCAGGTTACAACCTGGTTAAGGCTTTTAAGGCCCAAACAATTATTCTGGAGTGAATGTAGACGATTCCATCACATGTCAAACAAAATGTGAGTGGCATCATCACAACGTAGTCTGACAACTCTTAATCATTAATGAATACTCTCTTCTCTGATTGTTCCCAACAAATTTGTCTGAAATGGTATAGCGATGCCTGCTTGAGCAGGGGGCTGGACTAGAAGACCTCCATGGTCCCTTCCATCTCTGTTATTCTGTTAAATGTTACTGGCTGGTTTTCAAGTCCTGCAGTTAATTAATAGGGAATGATCTGTTCAAGTTATAGGCATAGGAGCTTATTAACAGCAGACATGGCTATATAATTCAAAATAAAGCTGGAAGGGACCTTGGAGGTCTTCTAGTCCAAACCCCTGCTCATGCAGGAAAACCTATACCATTTCAGACAAGTGGCCATCCAGTCTCTTCTTAAAAACCTCCAGTATTGAGGCACCCACAACTTCTGGTGGCAAGCTGTTCCACTGGTTAATTGTCCTCCCTGTTAGGAAGTTTCTCCTTAATTCCAGGTTGCTTCTCTCCTTGATGAGTTTCCATCCATTGTTTTTTGTCCTGACTTCTGGTGCTTTGGAAAATAAGTTGACCCCCCCCCTCTTTTTTGTGGCAGCCCCTCAAATACTGGAATACTACTATCATGTTCCCCCCTGGTGCTTCTTTTCTCTAGACTGCCCATTCCCAAATCCTGCAACCGTTCTTCCTATGTTTTAGTCTCCAGGCCTTTAATCCTCTGAGTTGCTCTTTTCTGCACTTTTTCCAAAGTCTCAACATTTTTTTTTTTTTTTGGTAATTTGTGGTGATCAAAACTGGATGCGGTATTCTAGGTGTGGTTCCCTATCCCCCATCCAGAAAATTGTTCCTCCTCTCCATATTATGAAACCATAATCAGAATAAGAGCATCAAATTGCCTTGAACAATGGGGCAGATTGGTTCTTGATTGAATGACCTGGAATTAAAGGCAAAATGACGACAGAGAATGAAATATAATAATAATAATTTTTATTTTACAATCACAGACCAAAATGCAAGTGCAACAAAAGAAAACACAAGAAAAATACGATCACAAACAGTTAACACCAGAAGCCTTGGCTAAAGGAAATTACAACATTCTCCTCTAATAGTTACAGCTCTTAAAAGAAATTTAGAAACCTGAGAAGTAAGAATGAAATATATAAATGAAGGCGCTGGTGTAAACCGTGGGGCTTTTTTTTTTTTGTTCCTTTTTGAAAATTATATAAAACAAATAAAGGTCTTTCGTTGATCCCCAGCTGAAGAGGGATGTAAATAATGGGATCCTTTATGCACTCAAATCAAGGAATAAACAAGTCTTAGAAGAATGGTTTCATATGTCAGTCAAAAGTGGTTGAAGTCATGGCAGCAGGCCCTTCCCAATATTAACACGGACACGCTATGTAGCAAATTGGAGAATGTTCAAAATGCTTTGCAGAAATGATCTTCTTTCTCAAAACCATTGCTTTATCTTCCTCTTGATTTGGAAGGAGGTTGACTTGGGTGTAGATCATGCATGCTTCCTCACCAGGCGCTCCAAATAAATCCAAAGGAAAAAGAGGACATTTTACTACCACTTGGAAAAGGAAGGGGTTTGTGAAGACAACTCGTCCATGTGTTTCAACTTCCTGAACGGGGACGTTGGGGGTTTAAGGAATCCCCCTCCAAGCCATTTGGGTCAGGAGGCGCTCCACGTTCTGCTGGTCTGCTGCTTTGGTTTGGGTCTTCATCCGTAGGAAGAGGTCCTCCTTCAGCCACCGCTGAACTATCTAGGTGAGGGATGGCTGCACAACACAACCAAACAGGAACAAAATGAATTCTTCATTGCGGTCAATGGCCACTACGCAAATACAACTTAAAGTAAAGCTATACAGATAGTCCTTGATTTATAAGCATTTCTTACAATGGCACTGAAAAAATACTTATCACTTAAGTTTTTCACACTTACTACTATTCTATTCTATTCTATTCTATTCTATTCTATTATTATATTATTCTATTCTATTCTATTCTATTCTATTCTACACTTATTCTATTCTATTCTATTCTTTTCTGTTTTTATTCTATTCTATTCTTCATTTTTCTATTCTACACTTATTCTATTCTATTCTATTCTATTCTGTTTCTATTCTATTCTATTCTTCATGTTTCTATTCTATTCTATTCTGTTTTATTCTATTCTATTCTATTCTGTTTCTATTCTATTCTATTCTTCATTTTTCTATTCTATTCTATTCTATTCATTTTGGGCATAGAGTCAGCTGGGTGACTTTGGGCCAATCACACCCTCCCAGAAATAGAATAGAATAGAATAGAAACAGAATAGAATAGAATAGAATAATGGAATGGAATGGAATAGAATAGAATAGAATAGAATAGAATAGAATAGAATAGAGCTGAAAGGGACCTTGGAGGTCTTCTAGTCCAGCCCCCTGCTCAAGCAGGAGAATCTACACCATATCAGGCAAGTGACTGTCTAGTCTCTTCTTAAGCAGGTAAGAGAAAACCATTTCCAAAATCTTTCCCAGAAAGTTTCAGGAGCTTCTCCTGGCAGTTCGCCAGGAGTCAACCCTGACTCTAAGGCACCCCAAATTGTTGAGGAAAGAACTGAAGAAGCTTCCTGGATGAGAAGCGAAACGTCTTCAAAGGGAAAACAAGAAAGTTCAGTTGCCTCGTGGAAAAAGCAGCTTCGGTGGATGATTGAGAATCTCCGTAGATACGGAGGAAAGGGCATTTATTTTACAAACGCTGGCTAGTTCTATCCAAGCAGAGATTTGTAAAGACATGTAATTTTAAACCCTACAGAATCTGATTGGATCCACAGCGCAGTTATCGTGAACCAAACAGTCTGTGAAACGGTGAGAAAACAGCTTTAAAGAACGCAAGTTCCTAGTTTGCACAGATTCCCCACCTCATCTTTCATCTTTAATTGTCCCATCTGGCTGTGAAGCCTTACGGATCAAGGTTGTCGCTGATTGATTGAAAACCTATTACAGTTGTGGCTTTTTGTGACGTACTAGAATAGAATAACGGAGCTGGAAGGGACCTTGGAGGTCATCTAGTCCAACCCCCTGCTCAAGCAGGAGACCCTTACACCATGTCTGACAAGATAGCTGTCCAGTCTCTTCTTGGTTGATGGCTGATTGGTTGACTAATTGGTGCTCCTTTTGTTTTGAGAATTTTAGATCCTGTCTTTCTTCTACGGCGCTCCCCGACACAATTTGGTTCAGCGCAAAAAAATCACACCCCGTATTAGATTTTAGATGCGTAATGGTGTACAGTTAAAACTCCTGCCTGCTAACATTTCAGTCCACTCCGGAGTGAGTAACCTACTTCAGAAGAGATAACTTTAACCTGAAGCTGTAAAGTTATCAGCAAAATCTCGTGGTTTATTCCAGTATTCTCCAAAGGCGAAAGGACAAAAAAAAACCTGTAAAGAAAATTATCTCCTCTTGCTATCCATTAGCTCGCCTTGTTAATAATCTACTATTAATCTGTCTCGTTTTGTAACCTGATGGAATGCTTGAGTTGGCAAAGTGCCTAAAAACAGGTTTAAACCAGCTGGGGATATCTTGGTGTCTTCCATGAACAGAGAGTTTTTTCTTTTAATAGTTCAGAGCTGATCATAAAGCCAGTGCTGTGGTTCTTTTTTTAAAAAAATAAAATAAAATAAAATATGGGTAATGTCTTCTGTCATTCAACCTTTCCTTTCAAGAGAGACATAATTTGCTGGATAGCGTAATTTCCCAAAAAGAAGGAGAGAGACGTCATGCCACAAGTCGCAAAATAGGGTGTTCCCCCCCCCCCCAGAAAAACCAGAAAGCTAATTTGAAGATGGACTCGCTTCTTCGTGGCACGTGCCCCTCTCTAACCCACAGGGAAATGTATTTCATCACCAAAATCACAGCCTCTCTGAAATCTATATTGTTTTTTAAAATATATATATATATATATATATATATATATATATATATATATATATATATATATATATATATTTCCATTTAATGAAGCCTTTGGAGAAAACGGCGTTCTTCCCAATTTTTGCAAAATCCCAAGTTAACCAAATCAATTTACATCAAATGCCATTAAGATGCATCCTTTACGTTAGCTGACATTATGCCAATAGCAAGATTTAATATCGGTTAAGTACCTCCTTCGGGAACAACCAATTTGTGCCTTTGTTGGAAATATTGACACTTGGACCTGCTAAATGAAGATTGGTTTAATGTCCCTTTGATTTAAACAAAAAGGCCAAACACTTTTATCTAGGTCTTAACTACAGGTAGTTATGACCATTGGTTTAAAGAATGTTTGAAGTTAAAAGCCTTCATATTCTAATCGTACAGACCTTTTCCATTTGCACGGTCATGCTAAATTTTTAATTAAGGTTTTCAATTGAATTAATTAAGCTTTTATATGTTATGTTATGTTATGTTATGTTACGTTATGTTATGTTATGTTATGTTATGTTATGTTGTTATGCTATGCTATGCTATGCTCTGCTATGCTATGCTCTGCTATGCTATGCTATGTTATGATGTGTTGTGTTGTGTTCTGTTATGTTATATGTTGGGTTATATGTTTGTGTTTTGTGTTATGTTATATTATGTTGTTATGTTATGTTATGCTGTACTATGTTATGTTATGTGTTACGTGTTATGTTATGTGTTTGTGCTTTGTGTTATGTGTTGTTATGTTATGCTATGTTAAGTTATATTGTGTTATGTGTTCTGTGATGTTATGTTATGTTTTAATGAACATTGGGGAATTAAGGTTTTCAAGAATAGACTGGGCAACCGTTTGTCTGGGATAGTATAAGAGCAGGGGGTTGGACTCAATGACCTCCAAGGTCCCTTCCAACATCATCATCATCATCATCATCATCATCATCATCATCATCATTATTATTATTATTATTATTATTATTATTATTATTCAAGGTCTTCTGTCTTGAGCAGGGGGCTGGATAGAAGATCTCCAATGTCCCTTCTATTCCATGATTTTATGATTGTAAATAATGCAGTAATGTCAATCATGAATGCAGCATTGCAGGCTAACTCTGCCCACAGCCAGAAAGTTCGATCCTGACCGGCTTAAGGTTGACTCAGGCTTCTGTCCTTCCAAGGTCGGTAAAATGAGGACCCAGATTGTTGGGGGCAAAATGCTGACTCTGTAAACCACTTAGAGAGGGCTATAAAACACAATGAAGCAGTGTATAGTCTAAGTGCTATTGCTATTTGCTATTCCTTCCTTCCTTCCTTCCTTCCTTCCATCCATCCATCCATCCATCCATAACAGATGCCGACTCTGTAAACCACTTAGAGAGGGGCTGTAAAACACGGTGAAGTGGTATATAAGTCTAAGAGCTATTGCTATTTGCTATTCCTTCCTTCCTTCCATCCATCCATCCATCCATAACAGATGCCGACTCTGTAAACCACTTAGAGAGGGGTTGTAAAGCACGGCGAAGCGCTATATAAGTCTAAGAGCTATTGCTATAGCTATTGTAAATAATTACCTGAAAGACACCAGAAACGCCAAAGGACAAAAGCGACCAACAAATAGGGAGAGAGGCAGCCCAAATAGTAAATCTGCAACAAAACAGAAGCTGGTATTAGAGCCACAAAATCTCCAGCAGTTACTCCAAAGGCAATGGACGAGTACGCACCAGGTCAGAATGGAGGATGTCGTCGGACAAAATCCTCAGCCGTAGATAAAGCAAAGCTAACGTGCAGGGGCTGACCGAGTCTTGGTTACTGTAATTCCAGCATCTACGGAAGATCATTTAAAAAAAAAAAAAAAAAAAACAACGTTTAGTAATTTGTAAGATTTAGGCTTTATGTAATAAGGGGCTTTTTTGGAGAACACAGTAAAAAAAAAAGTCCTTTGGAAGACGCACCCCTGCCAACCTCTGCAACTCTTTAAGGCAGCCGTATCGTCTCATCAATTTTGTCTTGCTTTGCAGCTGCTGCTTAACTGCAAAGGGCTGCATCTAGTTTAAACCGGAATCCTTTCAGCTACCATATCTCAAGGCTTCGCCCCATTCCGGGTTGGCTCCATGGCAGCAAAGATCAAAAGCTGGGCTGAGCAACAAGAACCAGGAACAGGACAAGCAATCACTTTCCAGGGGCGCACAAACAGTTCTAATGGAAAAAAATATATATTTTCCCACTCTATGCTGCCCGTGATCTGCATTTGCACAGCCCAATTTATAAAATGTATAAATTCCCTATTGAACTGTGAAATATTTGCAAATTAAGATGACAAATTTCTACACTTTGGGGGGGGGAAATAATTTTATTAAAGATTACAAATGAGAATAAAAGCAAATGCAAAGTAAAAAAAATATAAGAAGAGGGGAAAAAGGGAAGGAGAGAGGAGAGGAGAGGAGAGTAGGATAGGATAGGATAGGATAGGATAGGATAGGATAGGATAGGATAGGATAGGAGAAGAGAAGAGTAAAATAGGATAGGATAGGATAGGACAAGAGAAGAGAAGAGAAAAATAGGATAGGATAGGAGAAGAGAAGAGAAGAGGAGAGAAGAGAAGAGAAGAGAAGAGAAAAATAGGATAGGATAGGAGAAGAGAAGAGAAGAGAAGAGAAAACATAGGATAGGATAGGATAGGATAGGATAGGATAGGATAGGATAAGAGAAGAGAAGAGGAAAAAATAGGATAGGATAGGATAGGATAGGATAGGATAGGATAGGATAGGAGAAGAGAAGAGAAGAGAAGAGAAGAGAAGAGAAGAGAAGAGAAAAATAGGATAGGATAGAAGAAGAGAAGAGAAGAATAGAATAGGATAGGATAGGATAGGATAGGAGAAGAGAAGAGAAGAGAAGAGAAGAGAAGAGAAGAGAAGAGAAGAGAAAAATAGGATAGGATAGAAGAAGAGAAGAGAAGAATAGAATAGGATAGGATAGGATAGGATAGGATAGGAGAAGAGAAGAGAAGAGAAGAGAAGAGAAGAGAAGAGAAGAGAAAAATAGGATAGGATAGAAGAAGAGAAGAGAAGAATAGAATAGGATAGGATAGGATAGGATAGGATAAGAGAAGAGAAGAGAAGAGAAGAGAAGAGAAGAGAAGAGAAGAGAAGAGAAGAGAAAGGAAGAGAAGTAACTTCCCCTTAATTCCAACAAGTACAGTTTTAATAATATATCACTATCTCTTAAGAGACAATATATGCTCTCTTCACCCCATATCTCAGCTCTTAACTAAAAATAAAATCCAAAATTCATTCTTAACAACAGAAGTCCTTTAATCCATTAAAAAAAAAATCTCCTTTAGGCAATGAAACAGCAGACTATTTCGTTTGTATGTCCAATAGACCTTTCCCCAAATCCTTCTCATGGCTCGTCATACTTATATCCACTTTCAAATTAATCTCCAAATTTATCTGGAGTAGCTTATTTCTCTTCTGCAATTGCAATTAACCCTCCACCTACCCATCATGTCAGATAGTTTTAAAGACCATTTTTCAAAACTATCCAGAGAAAAACTCAAAGTGTTCAATATTTTGCTCCCTTTGGGGATTCAATTATACTTTTTATTATCCTCTGGCTCCCTCCTGTGTCCGATCCTCAAAGTCCCATCCTATTTCTTTTTCATTTAAAAACAAAACAAAACAGTCAAAGCTTCCCACAGGAGGCATTCTTCTATATTAATTTAAAATTATAATTCTAGCTCCACTTGGGCCCTTCCTTAATTCATTGCCAACTGTCCAAAATCTGTATTCTAAGTACACTTTTTGCTGTTTAATTTAAAAAGTAATGTTTCTCCCAAATTTTAAAAATTGGGTTATGATTGCTGTGATACTTGCTTCATTCACACAACTCATTTGTGCTAATCTTCCACAGGCACCACTCTAAACGTTCAACTCTGACTTCAGTATCCCTAAAAAAATAAAATAAAAGCAGGCCTACCTTTCATAAAGCTCTTCACGGAGGGACATATTTCTGGAGTGGACGGAGCTGTCAATCTTTAAACGATCTAAAATATAACTTGGGATAGAATAACCTTCTTCCAGAAGCAGAGCCAAATTAAAGAATCCCTGGAAGAGATAAAATGATGGTTAATTGGACAGACTTGCTAGCAAGATTCCTGTTATGAATGGAATAGAATAGAATAGAATAGAATAGAA